AAAGCATTCTTCTCCTATCACCAAGGAAAGTAAGACCTTGGAGGCTGAGCTTATTAAAAAGCAATGCATTGTGTCATTTTTCACCCAAAAAACAGCCGAAAACAGCCTGAAAAACAGGTTGAGGCAGGGCCAGCCAGTGGTGGGATTAGCCAGTTCATCGAACTGGGCATAATTTCAACAACCGGTTCACCCGAACGGACTGAATCCCACCTCTGGTACAAGCCAAATAGCCTACAGTTTGTTATTATTGATAGAGATGAAGAGAAGGGAGGAAAAAAAGTAATGTATGGAAAAAAGAGAACCGCATATACACAGGCCTCCAAGAAATCTGATTCTCATCCTCTTTCGATAGAGTTAGAACAAATTCAGTGGCATCTATTTACAAGGAAGAATTTATATCGAAATATTTACATAGAATTATAATTATATTCTCACCATTGATTGGCCTCAGAATTCAGGGACCATTTTCATGTGTGAATGAAGCTGAGCAGGATGGGACAAATATTTTAACAGAAAAGAGGGGGGGGGGGTCCCGAAGGTACTTTTTTTCAAAAGGCAACTGGGCTTTGTTTTTCCTTAAAGACATTTAGCTTCTCATCCAAGAAGCCTCTTCAGTTCTCAGAAGTTCTGAGAAGTTCTCGAAATTGAAGAAGCTTCTTGGATGAGAAATGAAAAATCTTCAAAGAAAAACTAAGTCCAGTTGCCTTTTGAAAAAGCTCCTTTGGGACAACCATGATCTGGATGACTGAGCATCTCCATAGACAGAAAAGGTGGGGGGGGGGGGGCTTAGAAGGCTAGTTGGAAAAGGAAAAGGAAGAAGAGGCAGGATTGACTATGAGAAGAAAAGTTATAGAAGGTTTGACATCTTGAAAGGATGTGGAAGATTATGTGGAAGAGTTTGAAAAACAAAAGCCCTTTAAGAATTTAGTGGGAAAAGGGCAGAGAGAGGAAAAGCCATAGAAAATGCTGATCTGCAAGAGAGGTAGATAGCTGTGGGCCACAAGCAATCCTTAAAACTATTTTTACAGCCCCTGTTACCCTTTGAACATCCAGTTCTCCTCCCTCTGCTATCAATGAGATCCATGCACAAGAAATTGTAAATGGTGAAGTGCCAAATGCTGGAGACAGAGAGAACGGAAAGACTCATTTTGACAGATTTGATGCTGCCTAAAATTGCCATATTCACCTGCCTATGGCAGAATCCAAATGCATGCAGGCAGGTGGTGGGATGGGTGGAACAAGAACTCATCTCTGTGTATATATTTTATTTCTATGCCAGAGTTTCACAACCTTGGCAACTTGGAGATGCAAGTGGTATTCCACTGATGATCACAATTGGGACTGGAATTTCTGTGGCTAAGCAAGATGATCATTAAATGAGTCACACCCAATATTATGATTTTGTGTTTTTGCTGTGGTCCTTAAGCAAATCACTTCGGTCATTTAAGTGAATCACACAGTCATTAGTTGAATCCTGCTGTCCCCATTGCCTTTTCTTGTTGGAAACCAGCTGGGAAGGTAACAAATGGTGATAATGTGATGTTGGATATTCTGCAATCATTATAAATACCTGCTGGTTGCCAAGTGCCCAAAATTTGGTCACATGACCACAGAGATGCTATGACAATTCTGAGTGTGAAGACCACACCTAAGTGTGAGGACCATATATTTTTTTAGCACTGTTGTAACTTCAAATAGTTGTTAAATGAATGGTCATAAGTCAAGACGTCTTGCAGGTGCTTTTTCAGGAGGCAACTGGACTTTCTTGTTTTTTCTTTGAAGATGTTTCACTTCTCATCCAAGAAGCACTACTCATGTGACCCTGAGGACACAGATAAACTTCCAAGTGCTTCAACGACCCTCTAAAACAGAGGTCTCCAAACTTGGCAACTTTAAGACTTGTGGACTTCAATTCCCAGAATTCTCCAGCCAGCATAGCTAGTTGCCAAGTTTGGGGACCCCTGCTCTAAAAGGATGCAAATGATCAGCTGTCTGTAAGGAATATAAATCCTTCCATTCCCCACTATCCTGTCAGAGCTGAAGAAACTTCTTGGATGAGAAGTGTCTTCAAAAGACAAAAACAAGAGAGTCCAGTTGCCTCCTGGGACAACCATGACCTGGGTGACTGAGAATCTCTATAGTAATAGGTCAGGAGCTATTTGTGTTTAGACTTCAGTTCTCAGAATTCCTCAGCCCATCATGCTGGCTAGGGAATTGTGGGAGTTGAAGTCCATACATTTTCAAGTCCCCAGGGTGAACAAACACTGTTCTATGCACATATAAGCCTACCTACTTTGCCACTTAGATGAACTCTCTAGATTCCTACATAGGCTGCCAATTCCTATACTAACAAAGAAGGAACCAGAACACTCATGTTCAATTTACAACGAGTCTTGGCTTGGAGGCTCACCTTATTTCCTGCTTCATGATCATTTAATGCTTCCATTTTGTTCTTGCCAAGAAGCCCCTAATCCTGTTAGGCAAGGAATTGCTAAGGAGAACCTGGAAGAGAATGATGTGTCAGCATTTTCAGCATCATTAGCTTCTAAATGCAAGGAGCCATCTTGTCCCAGGATAGCGCAGAGATCATTAGAAGTTTTGTTTTCCTCTTTCTGTGAAGGGTAATCTGATACTCCCTTTGCTGCTGAGCCATAACTGCCAACATCATCATTGGCCATATAGTCCATGGCTTATGACCACAATTGAGCACCAAAATTTCCATTGTTAAGTGAAACATTTGTTAACTGAGTTTTGCCCCATTTTACGACCTTTCTTGCCACAGTTGTTAAGTGAATCACTGCAGGTGTTAAGATAGTAACATAGTTGTTAAATGAATCTGGCTTCTCCATTGAGGTTGCTTGTCAGAAGGTTGCAAAAGGGGATCATATAACCCCAGGATACTGCAACGGTCATAAATACAAGTCAATTGCAAAGCATCTGAATTTTGATCACATAACCATGGGGATGCTGCTGTGGTCATAAGGGAGAAAAATGGTCATAGGTAAATCAGTGCCGTTGTAATTTCAAACAATCACTAAACTAACTGTTGTAAATTGAGGACTACCTTTACTGTTTCTTTAGAACTGTTTATTGCTGTTATTCATTCCTTTATTGACTACTCTTCAGAGTTATCTGTGCTAGAGCAGCTCATAATGTTATTTAAAAATCCTAATAGAACTCTGATTATTCCAGAGGTATAAAATTATAATAAATAAATAAGACACTAATGAAAACCACAAATAGAATAAAATACTCTTTTAAAATATCCCAATTAGGATAATTAAAGAAAAACTCTATGGTTGCCTTAAAAACAAGCCAGGGAATTCACACATAACTTTCCAGGAATAAATTTCTAGAAAATTAATGGAAAAGGCCCCATTGGTGCTCACCACCCCAAGACTTTTTATTTATTGATTTTATTTGTGAAACGTATATGCCTGCCAACCTAGCAGTTCGAAAGCATGCAACTGCAAGTAGATTAGGAGTGTCAAACTCACATCGTCATGGCATCGTTGTGTGACATATCACAACTTCCCCCCCCCCCTTCGCTAAACCGGGTGTGGGTATGGCCAGCATGTGATGCATCCGGCCCATGGACCGCGAGTTTGACATCCCTGAAGTAGATAAATAGGGAGTCCTTCGGTGGGAAAATACCAGGGATATGAAAGAAGAATTGTAATAGTAATTTATAGGCCGCCCTTCTCACTATCCAAAGGTCCTTTGGATAGGTCCTCTTGCTGAAGGGCCATAGAATTGGGCCTCAGCATAGACATTTGCTACAAATTAGAACAGCGGTGTTAAATTTGTGGCCTATAGGCCATATGAGTCATGCACTGGTCACGCCCACCTCCAGTTTAGCAAAGGGGGGGGGGAGAAAGTCACGATATGTCATGTGACGTGAACGTGACGCCGTGCATTTGACACCCCTGAACTAGAAGGATGCATTGTGATGTCATGATGAATACATGGTCATATTAAAGGCTCCGGCAGACTTCTCTGGCGCTACACATCAGGGAATGTATGCGTCTGTCATTCAGGGATGTTTGCATAGGCATTCCATTTATATTTGTGCAAATATAAAATTCTGGCTTGGGGCCATTGAAAGAGCAAAGCACAGAACAGGAAGTCGGATCAGCCAATTGGAGTGCAGGACACACACCCCACGCCACGCGCAATTGGGTTAGGGTTAGGGTTATACTTACCCATCAAACCCTTTGCAGTACAAGTTTGCAGTAACACATACAGACAGTTGTGGGCAACTCTAAATCAGCCTGTAGTTGTTGCGTGATATTGCAGGCAAGTATGGAAGTCAATGGCTTGGCCCATGATGTCACAACATACTCTGTGGCCTTTCCTTTTACCCCCAAGAATGCTAATGGGCCTGAGCAACTGATGACAACATTCTGGCAGGTTGAGATGGCCGCAACTAATCCCTAGGTTGGCCCCGTCTTAACCTTTTAAAGGTTAAATCCATTTTTCTTTGGCTCTGGAACTAAATAGGCTAGGAATGTAGAAGGGCTGAAAAGGTCAAAGCCCTGAACTTTTGTGAATCTTTTGATGTCACATTCTTCCAAATGAAGGTTTTTTTTTTGTTTTTTTTTTTTAAAGGAAGAGATACTGATACAAGCATCTCAGTAACTGGATTACTTTCACTTTAGAATCCAATCTGGCTTTCAGCTGTTAAGGTAAAGACTTCTTTCAGTTCTTAACTAGCAGCATCTCTGTGGATAGACAAGGAGGTCAATCAGCCGCCTGATAGCTAAGGAATGCACACGTGGTACAGTTGTGACTCCTTGAGACTCTTTAAGCATGCCATTATGTGGTGTGTATTACAGTAAACTCAAGACTTGTGTCACTTAAGGCAAGATCAGATCTTCCTTCTCCAAATGCAATCATACTTGGCAAACCACCTGAAGCTAGGCAGAAATAGAACAGGGAATGCTTGGAATCAGTTTGAGCTTACTGGACCATATCAAAGTCCCACTTTGTGCTGTTCTAACAGTGGGAAAGCTTTATTTGTCTAGGAAGAAGACAATGCAGAAAAAACAAGTGTCCTTTGTGATTCCTTCCAGGATCTTGTATTCAGATTATCTGCCTGTATTCACTGAGATTCTGCTTACTATCCTGGCTACTCATTTGACATTTTCTCTATAGTTTCTCAGTGTTTAAAAATGAAACCCTAATTCAACCTGTGACTGCTAATGCCATAGGTGAATTAGTTCTTGTATGTTCTGCTTATCCATTCCCTATGGACATATGTACAAAAACCCAGTGCCTTTAAATGATGATCAGACATTAACCGAGGATGGCTCTAACATCTGTTATAGATAGTCCTCAATATGCAACCATTTGTTTAATGACCATTCGAAGTTACAACAGCACTGAAAAAATGACTTACAACTAGTCCTTGCTTTTATAACTGTTGCCGCATCCCCACAGTCACGTGATCAAAATTTGGGTGCTTGGCAGCCAGCATGTATGTACGATGGTTTGCAGTGTGACCATCATGTGACAGCTTTTCGCCATCTTCCCAGTTGGCTTCTGACAAGTAAAGTCTCTAAGGGAAGCTGGATTTGTATAACAACCACATGATTCACTTAACAGCTGTAGTGATTTGCTTAACAACTGTAGCAAAGAAGATCATAAAATCACAACTGGAATTCTGATCCCAATTATTGTAGGTTGAGGACCAATTGTTATCATAACCAATTAAGTAAACAAAAGCTATCTAAGGCTGTGACTTTCCTTCCTGTTGATGAACCTCTGGGAAACATCTGAGCATGATGAAGAATAGGATGCTGGATCAGATGGATGATTTGATCTGTTCAAAAGGGATCTTCTCTCTTGATCAATTATTATCGGTATCCATAGTTAACAATGACCCACCAGCTTCAGAGGCAGTCTACCTTTACTCGGGAAAGCTCCTGTATCCTCCATAGGGCTTCTGATCACCAACCAACCCTAAGGATTTTTCCCATCAGGGAGTGTGTGAAATGTTCCCGTTTTGAAATGTTTCAAGTACAGCATCCTGTTTTGAGTGGAATGGATTGTCTGGAACATTTTGCAAAGATTTCAGGCTCAAAAAAAATGCTGTAAGCCTAACGCATTTACATTTGCAGCCAGAGCAGTCCTATGCTCAAAGCAGCACCGTTCACACTTGAAATGAGACATGTCTGAAATTTTGTGCTAGGAATGTTTTGAAATGAAATGTTTGATGTCCTTCTGCGAAGGTGCAGAGGGAAGGGCTGTTCCCTTCCTGTCTTACCAGATCTATATGGCTGGCTGTTGTGGGAAGGTGAATTTTAAGTTAAACTTCAGGCCAAGATTACTGGTTGTTAATATTACCACGAGGGGTCCTGGGTGCTCTTTGAACTTGATTGTTTTCTTGCAGATGTTTCATTACCCCAACCCAACATCTGCCCAAACATCTACCCAAACTAACATCTAACGTCACCAGTGCTAGACTAGCAACCCTGAACAACCAATATTCTTCTTTATTGGTGACATTCTCATCCCAGGAGAATTGTTGGAGTTGATTTTTCTGATTGATGGATAGTTGGGATAGACAACCTTCTTTTGTAGCTGTTAAAACAGTGGAAATTTCGGTTCTTCTTTGCTCTTCATTAAACATCTCTTCCCTTCCTAATTAGACCAGCCGGGACATTTGCTCTGTCATCTTTGCCATCTTCAATGTTATCTGGTCCACGCTGTTCCTGGAGGAGTGGAAACGCCGAGGAGCCGAGTTTGCATACAAGTGGGGAACTCTGGACACACCAGCAGAGTCCATCGAAGAACCTCGGCCGCAGTTCCGGGTCAGTGGTGTCTGATCTAGCTCAGAAAAGAAGAAAATACAAGTTTAAAAAATAATAATTTGTGCTGCCCATGGCCATGGATAAAATCTAGGCATGTCAGTCAAGATCAAGTGAGGTACTAATACCACTCTATAAAGCCTTAGTAAGACCACACCTTAGAATACTGCGTCCAATTTTTCTCACCTAACTATAAAAAAGATGTTGAGACTCTAGAAAAAGTGCAGAGAAGAGCAACAAAGTTGATTAGGGGACCGGAGGCTAAAACATATGAAGAACGGTTACAGGAACTGGGCATGGCAAGTCTAGTGAAGAGAAGGACCAGGAGAGACATGATAGTGGTGTTCCAATATTTGAGGGGCTGCCACAGGGAGGAAGGGGTCCAGCTATTTTCTAAAGGGCCTGTAGGCCAGACAAGGAACAATGGATGGAAACTGATCAAGGAGAGATTCAACCTGTAATAAGGAGAAACTTTCTGACAGTGAGAACAATCAACCAGTGGAACCGCTTGCCTTCAGAAGTTGTGGGAGCTTCATCACTGGAGGCTTTCAAGGAGAGACTGGACAGCCACCTGTCAGAATGATGTAGCATCTGCTTGGGTGCGGGGTTGGACTAGATGACCTACAGGGTCCCTTCCAACTCTGTTAATCTGTATCTGTATCTCCTTTCTTTGCAGGGTGTGAAGCGCATCAGCCCAGTAACCAACACGGAAGAGTTCTACTACCCGCCTTGGAAGCGGTTACTCTTCCAGTGTTTGGTGAGCGTGCCCATCTGTATCGTCTGCCTCTCCTTTGTCTTCCTTACCATGCTGGGCTGCTTCGAATTGCAGGTGAGGTGGTTCTGGAGTTGTGGGCAGACAGGGTCCACAATCCAGTCCCGGTGTCTTTATTTGTTGTTTCCATCAGATGTCCTGTCTGTTCATAACACAAGTCTGGCCTTTATCTTGCCCCAGCCTAAGATTTAAACAGTGTCATGCTGACCCTTAAGGTCCTGAAAAGAAAAGGGATACTTCAGCTATCTCAGAGCCATGGCATGTAACTTTTATAATGCTTCCTGCACTTTCAGAGAAGACGTATTCATTTTGCCTCTTATTCGGTTTAATTATTCAGTCATTGTTAATCGTCCTGAAGAGGGTGGCCTCATATCTTATGGAGGAGGGTGAAAAATAATGCCATTGACTGTTCATCAGCTAATCATCATCCTTAGAATATTTTCCCAGCTGCTACTATCAATGAGGATAATGCATTTTATTAGCTAACCAAGGCTCCAACATGAATTTAGATAATATATCACTACTTGGCCACGATATTACATCAGTACTGTACAGCAAGGGCTAAAATACCCCGTGCAATGCAAACTGACAAGAGTAGTATTTAATTTCTCTTAGCTTAACTGTGGCATTTCCCTTGTTTCCCCACTGAGGATGGTGCTGGTCTGGATAGCAACCGTAGTTGGGTACTATATTACTATGCTAACAAATTGATATTTTGAGACAACGAATATCTAAAGTATTAGTCTCAACTTTGGCACCTTTAAGATATGTGGATTGCAATTCTCAGAATTTCTTCCCCAGCAGAGCTGGCTGGGGAATTCTGGGAGATGAAGTCCATGGATCTTCAAGGTGCCAAGGTTGAGAAACACTGCTCGGAAGGATCCCTAAAGGTGCAATTCACACCATTCATTTGCAGTGGTTCAGGTATGGCCTGCACATCTCAGGAAAAGCAGTAAGTAGTGAGCTACGTCTGGGAAGTGAGAGGAGCTGAAGCTAGGAGCTGGACCCATTCTTTGGAACAGTCCCTGCTGACATTCGACTTGCCTCCATCCTGCTGTCATTTAGGAAAACATTTAAGCTAAGCAAAGTTGTAGAGCATTTCTAGATTGAGCTGATACCATCTGAATTAATTAGGTTACTACTGGTAATTGAGTGACAGGATTGATCTGGTGGATATATATTAGTAACCGATGTTATTGATTGATATTGATTAACTTATATTATTACTTTATTGCAGATGTTATTTTTATACAGTTTACTGGCAATATTTTAAATGTGTTTTGTTCACCAGCTAGGAGTCTTGATTGAAATAGTGAAATGTAAATTGGATGGATGGATGGATGGACGGACGGACAGACAGACAGACAGACAGACAGACAGACAGACAATAGGGATAATCCTTGAATTATGACAACTGAGACCAGATTTTATGTTGTTAAGCAAGTCAGTTGTTAAATAAGTCTCACTCAATTTTATCACCGTTTTTGCAATGGTGGTTGTGAATCCCTGCAGTTGTTAAGTGAATCAGATGATCAGTTAAATGAATCCAATGGTCCCCATTGACTTTGCTTGTTTGAAGCTAGCTGAGGAGGTCATAAATAGGGATCGCAGGGCCCTGGGATGCTGTAATCATGATAAATATATGCTGGTTGCCAAGCACTTGAATGTTGATCACGTGACCATGGGGTTCCTACGATGGTTGTAAATTGAGGACTGTCTGTAGACAGCTTTGTTGATAGTCAAACTAGGTTGGTTTTTTTTTTTTTTTAGAAAATGCTTAAATTCATAGAACAGAAATAACTGAGCAATAGGAATTGGTAGAAACAAGGAACCCTCTGCCTTTATGAAAAGCCATTTGTATTGATCAGTTGTGATGTAATCCTGGTTCTCCAATCTGTTTCTTTCTCCACCTCCATCAGGAATTTGTGCTGAGCATCAAGGAGCTGCCACGCCTTGTTCGCTTCTTGCCCAAAATCATGCTGGCCGTCATTGTCACCCTCTGTGATGAAATCTACAGAAAAATTGCCTACTGGCTAAATGATATGGGTAAATATCCAGATTGCACACCTTCTGATCCGAAGAAAACTAAGCTAAATGGAACCTTAAATGGATCCGAGGAAACGTTTTGATTGTGTCCAACTCAAGAGATGCGCAGAAACTGGGAATTTCCAGAAGCAGCCCAGATCAATATTTCTTAACCTGGCAACTTTAAGATGTATGAACTTCAACTCACAGAATTCCCCCCAGCAAGCATGCTGGTTGTGGAATTCTGGGAGTTGAAGACCACATATCTTAAAATTGCTAAGGTTGGGGAACACTGGTCTAGATGCTATGCAACTTTCCTCCCTAAATCAGGGAAAGGCCCACAAGAGAAAGAAGAGCAGAGAAGGGAGACAATGCAGCTAGTCTCCAGCTGGATGCTGTGAACCCCTGAGCATACTAGAAGTTCTTACCCAAAATCTAATATTGGAGCAACCTCAATAAATAAAATAAAAAGTATTGCATGCTATAAAAATAAAAGTATTGCATGCTAGTACTCTCTCTCTCTCTCTCCCTCCCTCTGTCCGTCCCTCTCTATCTTTCCCTCTCTCCCCCTCTCCCTGCCTCTCTCTCTCATATTATAGATTGCCCTCACCTTATGACAATTGAGCCCAAAATTTATGTTGCTGTTAAGTGAGTTTGCCTCATTTTACGACCTTTATTGTCACAGTTGTTCACTGCAGTTAAATTAGTCAAACTTGGCTTGTCAGAAAAGGTGACCACATGACTTTGGGAGACTGTGAGTGTCACAAGTAAAAGTCAGTTGCCAAGGGTCTGAATTTTGATCACATGATGTGAGGATTCTACAACGGCCATAAGTGTGAAAATTGGCCCTAAGTCACTTTTTTCAATGCAATTGTAACTTCGAATGGTGACTAAATGAACTGTTGTAAGTCAAGGACTACCTGTATTTTAATATATATATATTTTGTTTTGGGGGAAAACTGCTCTCACTGTAGCCAAACACTCTTTGGTTTTAGGGCAGAGGTCTCCCAACTTGGCAACTTTAAGACTTGTGGACTTCAACTCCCAGAATTTGGCCCCTGTTTTAGGGGTACAGCAGAAGGAATGATTTTCAGCAGTTTGATTGTTGTACCAAACTTACAACAGCTGATGAAGATAATCATCAAATGCTTTGAAATGTTTCTTGGGGGTGGGGGGGGGAGTGGAGTTTTTTTTGGCTTGGTAGAGCTCACGTTCTTTGGTGGAATGGTGAGACCTCAGTTATGAAAGATAGGAAAGCATTGCCGCAGATGCCTGAAGGCTAAGCTGGAAACGAGCCTTACTTTATGCCTTTCTCCTGAGCTTCTCACAGGCACTTGCCTGATGTAAGATATGGTACTAAATGACTTCACTTGGATCTGATCTGGCAAGTCTGACCATATCTGTCAAGTGTCCCTACTGTGCCATCATGAAATGCCAAGTGTTAGAGAATCAGACTTTAAGACGCCATTGCTTAGACAGCAGATACTGGCTCATCTCAAATTCTCAGCCATAAGATGGCTACTACTTAGAGAATATTTTCCAGGAATAGCAAGAGCAAGAGCACTTACTATATACTGCTTTATAGAGCTTTCCAGCCCTCTCTACACGGTTTGCAGAGTCAGCCTATTTCCCCCAACAATCTGGGTCCTCATTTTACCCACCTTGGAAAGATGGAAGGCTGAGTCAACCTTGAGCCTGGTGGGATTCGAACTGCCAAATTGCAAGCAGACAACAGTAAGCAGAAATGGCCTGTAGTACAGCACTCTAACCACTGCGCCACCGAATGCCAGTAAATTGTTGACATATGGCTGTTCCAAAGAGGTTTATGTGTTTGCTCATTAAATTTGTCGGCTGTCAGTCTTACCACAGTGAACTCTGCTTAGGTTCACTGCTGCCCTTGAGAAGTCAGCTTATTCTGGTCCTAGAAAAGACCCATCAAACTGCCACGTTTTACCTTCTCACCTCCTCCTCCTCGTTCCTTTTCCTTGCAGAAAATTATCGCTTGCAGAGTGCCTATGAAAAACACCTCATCATCAAAATGGTCTTGGTAAGTTGAGCCTTTTGGCTTTTTGAAACTGTTCTGTTCCAGTTTTAAAAGTAGGACACAGTCTCAAAAATCCAGTAGGATGAGTTTCTCCAGATAGGGGCCTGTTACTTTTGATGGCTTTGGTTTTCTTTGGTGAACCTTGGTAAGAAAGTCCCTCAGTTAGCAAGATTACAGGTAGTCTTCAACTTACAACTGGTTGCTTAGGAATCATTTGAAGTTCCGATGGACTTATCTTGAAGATACTTATGACCCAGACTTGAAGTTCTGATGATCAGCCTTCTTTAGGGTCACATATCCAGACTTCAGGCGCTTGGCAAATGGTCATGTTATCTGGCAGTTTGCAGCGTATTTTACAAAAAATGGCCCTGTTTTTGGCAAAACTAGGCCATAGCAAACAACAAGGGCTAACTTCATGACCACTGTATTTGTTTAATGGCCACCTTGTTCACTTAAGGACTTCTGCCAAAAAGTTCATAAAATCATGTGACCAACTCACTTTACAGCCGTCACGTTGTAGCTCCATTACGGTCATGATTCAAGGACTCCCTGTAATGCTGCTATTTAATACTGCTAATTATATTTATCCACCAAAATTTAATGGTGATGGGGTGTGCAAAAAATGTACTCTCTCTCTTCCTTTATCTGGACTGTTTAGTCTCAATGAAGATTCATCTCATTTTGATTTTAGCGGACTATTTTTGTTCAATAATTCAGTAACAGCCCCTTGGTAAATTGCCCAAAACTAGAGATAAACAATGAGACAGTCTTAATCCTGTCCCAGAGTTGCTTTTGCAACAGGTAACTGGACTTTCTGGTTTTTCTTTGAAGACGTTTTGCTTCTCATCCAAGAAACTTCTTCAGCTCTGAGTGGATGGTGGGGAATGGAAGGATTTATAGTCCTTGCAAACAGCTGGTCATTTGCATTCTTTTTTGACCAGCTGTCTGAAAGGAGTATAAATCCTTCCATTCCCCACCATCCACTCAGAGCTGAAGAAGCTTCTTGGATGAGAAGCAAAACATCTTCAAAGAAAAACCAGAAAGTCCAGTTGCCTCTTGAAAAAGCACCTTTGGGACAACCGTGAACTGGACGACTGGGAATCTCCATAGATATTTAGTCTTAATCTTGTTTCATCAACTGTCTCTTCTTATGGCTTGTTTCTCTCTTCTCCAAACAGTTTCAGTTTGTAAATTCATACCTAAGTCTTTTCTACATTGGATTCTACCTCAAAGACATGGACCGCCTCAAGGAGGTATGGCATTCTTGAATATGGGAGGCAACAGCCAAGGGAAAATGGGAAAGGGGTAAATTGCACTGGGCTCCATTACAACCAGAAACAGTGTTGGTCCAGGTAAATGTGCCATTTTTATCAGGATACGTTTAGAACCAAAAATGTCCCCCGGCTATTCAAAAAAGTTGCACCCCAAGAAAGCCAAGGACTATCAGCCACTTTTAACACATTCTTAACATGGTTTTCTTTCTTCCTTTCTTTTATGGGTTCTTTTAAGTTTTCATGGTTTTTTCTCTCTCTCTGTTTGTCTCTGTCTTGTCCGTATTGCCCTCCACAGCTCCTGCTCATCTTTTCTCTCTTCCAAAGCCTTGTGCGTCAGCTTAAAGACGCGGTCCTTCCCTCCATCACTCTCCAACTCCACCTCTATCTCATCTCCTTTAAGGGTTTGCTGATTTTTTCCTGGCATCTGGGCATCTCCAAAGTAGGATCCTGATGATGGAAGGAGTATGGAAGGGTGGGGTGGGGGTGAGGAGGAATAAGCAGGCTGCAGAACCTCAGCTTTAATCCCATTTATTTGGCCCGATGCATTTTAAGAAGACTTGCTTTCCCATGGCCAAAAAAAGGAGAAGTTTGCTCTTACAACTCTGACCAAGATTTACTTAGGATTGATCAAAAATGATGAAACCGGCACGGGGGCTGAAAAGTCTTTCAGAATGGAAAGCAAAAAAAAAAGGAGTTTTGAAAGGAATTGGGTGCTCACGAGACCCCTGCCTTCAATTCTGTCAGAGTTTTTGCAACCCATCTGACCAGCACACAAGTAAAATAATTCTGCAGGATTCATTTACATAAGAAAATTTCCTTATATACAGTACCATACAGCAGAAGTCAGCATACCAATCTAGGGACACAGAAGCAATATTCATAGAAGCAAGTCATGATACAGAGGCCTAGAAGCCTAGATTTATAGAGGCCTAGATTACAGAGGACAAACCAACTCTTATATACAATTCAGCAAGTCAAACCACACCCAGTCTTTTATGGCCCCATACAAACAAATACTATGTTTCCGTTTCCAAGCAGCCCCCATTGGCTGACCTGTTGCCATGTCTAATTCAGACAGTCGCCATTGGCAGACCTGTTGCCATGTGTAATCCAAACAGTCCCATTGGCTGACCTGTTGCCATGTCTAATCGAACAGTCTCCAATTGGCTGACCTGTTGCCATGTCTATTCCAGTTCATGAACTGGACTGACAAACTACACAAACTACAAAGTACACTGCCAAATTCCTTCAAGAAACTGATTTTGGACAAGATGGCATGGTTGTCCTTTGCATAGAAATAGGTTACTGGGGGAAAAAATGGGGTTTGGTTCAAAGAGTTGCACCTCTAGGGTAGCCTTTTGTCTTCAATCCAAAGTGCTGCTTCATCCTAAGACTTAAAACAGCCCTTAGAATTGAAATCACATATAGCAAACTACAGTCTTATGATCACTTTCTGGTAGCAGAAACTTAGTTTATTTCCAAACAATCAGAATTAAGATCAAGATTACAGGTATAATAATACATTTTGGAAAGAAAAATAGTTCCTAAATTCGCACACACCTGAATACTTACTGTTAGATTAATTTTGACTTTCTAAGGACAGGCTAGTTTCAACTAAATTTTTATTCTACGACTTAGTGCAGACTTATAGGAGCTTAGCCTTAGACTATTGTACCTTTCTCATAAAATTGCTTATACTTCTTTCTTAATGGTAAACTTTATAACTTAATTTTTTTCTCCAAATGATGCCCGGTGATGATGACGATAGATTTGTATCAGCAAACAACCTCAGCTAGAAAATTAGATGTAAGGAAACTAGAGAAATAACATCAGCATGTGGTTTTAATCTGTTTAAATGGTTACTTTTTAAGAAGCAAGTAAAGTTAGTTTCTAAATAATTTATAAAAGTTTGCCTACTTCTCACAATTGCATTTTTTTAAACTTTTTTTTGCTTTTGAAGCTTAGAATCATAGGATGGAAGGGCTGGAGGGGTCATATGATAACTGACTCCAAAGTTTCTCGATTTTGACAAATTTAAGATGTGTAGACTTCAATTCCCAGAATCCCTCAGCTAACACGTCGCTAAGATTGAGAAATATGGACCTTGCCCAATCACTACATCAACCCCAAGACCATCCATCCTTTTTTGTTCCATTGTTGACCAGTTTTTACCATTAGGAAAAATCTTGCCAATGTCCACCCAATTATATGACCCTTTTTGTCTGGCAGTTGTTAAGTGTATCTGTGGTATTATGCGAACCCATTGTTTGCTGTGGGGCATTTTTGCTGAAAACTGGAAATGAACTTCAGTTTTCAGCAAAAATGTTGTAAACTGTGGTCACATAACTGCAGAACACTGAAAGTGCTCCTAAACGTGAACTGGTGGCCAAGTGTCCAAAATACAGTCACGTGACTGTGAAAGAAGCCTGGCCATCAAAACCAGGTTGTAAGTACTTTTGGGGGATTGGTTGTAAGTTCAAATGGTCGCTAGTTCATAAGTCAAAATGTAAAATGTATCTATAGAAACCCCTGTTACAAAGAAAACTTTCTTACAACTGACAAGGGTGTAATATAACAAGGAGGGAGAAATTCCCAACCATGTTCCTGGACTCCACATGTTCTTCAAAGCAATTCATAAAAATTGATGAGTTGTCACAGCTTTGTTGGATGTGAGCTCATTTAGTCAGGCAAAAGAGAAGGTGAAAGTTAAGCTAAGGTAGTAGAGAGTAAATTATGTAAAGCAGTGATCCCCAACCTTTTTTACGCCGCGGCCCGGTATCCCCAACCTTTTTTATGGCGCGGCCCAGTACCGACATCAGCTGGGCACCGCCATCTTGTTTTGATGAAAAAGTGCTTCCGGTGAGCTTTCTACCCGGAAAAGCTCACCGGAAGCACTTTTTCATCAAAACAAGATGGCGGCGCCCAGCAAACCAGCGGCCCGGTAGGACTTGTTCCACAGACCGGTACCGGTCCGCGGACCGGTGGTTGGGGACCCCTGATGTAAAGAATGAAGGGCAACCTCATTGTTTTTGTCTTCTGATACTTTATGATTCATCATAGCCATCAAAACAATCATTTTGTGAGTGTATCCACAACATCCTCTCAAAATTTGAAATACGTCCTGTAGAACAAAAAGTTTTGGAGGCTCTTGCTCTCTACATCAGGGGTCCCCAACCACCGGGCCCTGGACCGGTACCGGTCCGTGGATCATTTTCTACTGGGCCGCCGGTTTGCTGGGCGCTGCCATCTTGTTTCGACGAGAAAGTGCTTCCGGGTGAGCTTTTCCGGTTGGAAAGCGGTGTTTGGGTCCTGAAGGAATCCTCGCGCCTTAGTTTCATCGAAGGGGGGGGGGCGGCTTCGAACGAAGAGCCGTCCCGATGGCGGAGGAGATTAAGAAAGCACAAAAAAGCACAAAAAAGGTACAAAGGAGGAGTTGAAGGTGGCGGGGAGAAGTGGGGAACGGCTGGCTGGCCGGTCGTTCGGCTCACCTTGCCTTGTCATGCGTGCTGATGCCGGTACCGGGCTGTGGATCATTTTGTGATGCCGGTACCGGGCCGTGGCACAAAAAAGGTTGGGGGCCACTGCTCTACATGATACTCTTTGCCAATTTGCAATGTAGCTGAGGATTGAGGTTCCCCTTAAAATAGTATGTCTAGGATAGCCTGATGTTCGACTCCAGAGTTGAGTAGCTGATTCTACTAAGGAACAACTGACTAAGAATGACAGGCAGGGAGCACTTTTTCCCACTTCATTGGCCAAAATAGATGCTTCAGTGTGTCCAGCTGATTGACCATCTCACAACTCCCCCAAGATATGAGGAATAGAGGGAATATTGTGAGCAAAAGGAAGAGCAGCTACCAAGACAACAGTCAGATAAACAAAAACTGAATCCAGGGTAAAACTGAAAAATCATCTCAGACAAGACCCTCCCTAGTTCTCATGAAGATGAAGTGTTACTACCACTTTGTAATGCCTTGGTAAGACCACACTTGGAATACTGCGTCTAGCTTTGGTTGTAACAATGTAAAAAATATGTTGAGACTCTTAGAAAGAGTGCAGAGAAGGACAACGAAGATGATTAGAGGACTGGAGGCTGAAACATAAAAAGAATAGTCGCTGAAATTGGGTAAGTCTAGTTTAATTAAAAGAAGGACTAGGGGTGACATAGCAACCTTCCAAAATCTAAGAGGGTGCCCCAAAGAAAAGGGGGTCAACCTATTCTCCAAAGCACCTGGGGGGGCAAGACAAGAAGTAATGGATGGAAACTAATCAAAGAAAGAACCAACCTAGAACTAAGCAGTAATTTCCTCACAGAACAATTCATCAATGGCATAAATTGCCTCCAGAAGTTGCGAATGCTTCAATACTGGAGGTTTTCAAGAAGAGATTGGACATCCATTGGTCTGAAATGGTATAGGGCTTCCTGCCTGAGCAGGAGGATTGCACTAGAACAGGGGTCTCCAACCTTGGCAACTTTAAGACTTGTGGACTTCAACTCCCAGAATTCTGGGAGTTGAAGTCCACAAGTCTTAAAGTTGCCAAGGTTGGAGATCCCTGAACTAGAAGACCACCATGATCCCATCCAATTCTGTTATTCTGTTATACAAAGGGAGGGAAGGAAGGAGGCGCCAAGTGCATTCAGACTTGTAAGACTCTTGATACCATAACCTCATGATAAAAAAGTAGTAATGATCTGCATGACTTTTGCTTCCTAGTCTTGTCTGTGCCGAAGGGCTAATACCTGGATGCTTTACTCTTCCCTCCTGCCTCTTTCAGATGCTGGCTACACTCCTCATTACCCGCCAGTTCTTGCAGAATATCAAGGAAGTCTCTCAGCCCCACTTATACAGCAAGTTCAAGCGTGGTGACTTCAGTATGCAAAACCTTCGGGAGGTGACCCACACCTTCTTCCGCCTGCTGACCCAGAAGTACACCTTCACCCCTTCGTGCGGCACCAACCCTCGGCATCCCAGGTATGGGGACTCGCCGGTGGGCCACAGGCCAAAGGTCCATGAGGCCCCAGAGGGGGCCGTCAAGGGGGAGAAGAAATGCCTCAATGGAGGGTGCGGCGTGCCTGAAGAAGAGGACGAGGAGAAGAAGGAATCGGACTCAGAAGACGAGAGCATCATTGACTGTGGGCTGAAGCTGAAAAAAGTGAGCTTTATTGAAAAGGCTGACCGCAAAACGGGGGATCCCAGTCTAGAGGACATGAGTTTCTTGGAAGAAGGTAGCCCCACCATGGTGGAGAAAGGGATGGACCCCTCCTCTGTCTTTGAGCTGTGCGAGGATGACGATGAGAGCGATGAAGCCTCAGAGAGCCCGTCTAAGGCCCTTCCGGATGTTAAGGAGCCAGCTGTTACCATGCGGACTCGAAGGCCGCGGGTGGGCAAGAACCTCACAGAAGGCGAGGAAGAAGAAGAGGAGGAGGGTTCTGGGAATCGAAGACAGGCCCGGTCCTCCTGGATCGATCCACCAGAGGAGAACTACACCACGCAGCTTGCCCAAGCCGAAGTGGAGAGCTGCATGAAAAAATATGAGGTAAGACCAGATGTGTTGCTCCTCTGACTAAGCAAGCAGGCTATTCGTGTGATTATTGATTAATTAAGTCTGTTTAATTAATTGGCATTTGGACCTTTCTTTTAAAAAAAAGCTATCCCCTGCAAAAGATGGTGAGTTTTGAAAGTTAGTCATGTTCAGAGTATTGCAGCGTAAATTCAGCGGCAGAAAAGTAAACACAGATGGCTGAAATTTCATTTAACTTCTTTATAAGCACAAGTAAAATTTTACAATACCAGTTGTAGATTTCTTCAACATGGAGCAAACTCAAACGGAAACAGACATGTTACAAGCAACTCAACTCCAGCAGACAAACAAGCAAGTTAGTTTATCTTTCAATAGACAGACTCAGAGCTTAACATAGCTTCGGTGCTGCAGCCCTTAATATAGAGCCACACCTAGGCTACTTCTAGTTGCAGTTTCCAAACAGTCCTCATTGGCTGACTTAGTTGCTATGCCTATTCATTGGCTGACCTTGTTACCATGCTCTGTTCCAGTTCATGAATATACTCTTGACAAGTGTGTTTTCTATCTTTGGAACTTCTTCCCTGCAAAAGAAAAAAATGCGGCTTCAGACACCCAGTGCTAAACTTTGGAATAAAATAAGTTTAGAAAAGAACAAATGAATGAAGTGCTGCATGGGCTTTGTAGTTCTCTCTTGCACATGCACACACAAGACATCCCAACATTTTGATCCTCTCCCAACCTAGGACACTTTTCAAGATTACCAGGAGATGTTCATCCAATTTGGCTACGTGGTCCTTTTCTCGTCGGCCTTTCCCTTGGCTGCAACGTGTGCCCTCATCAACAATATCATTGAAATCCGGAGCGATGCCTTCAAGTTGTGCACGGGACTCCAACGGCCCTTCGGGCAGCGGGTGGAAAGCATTGGAGAGTGGCAGGTAAGCCTGGCTTTTCCATCTGGCTGCAATTGACCAGTGGAAGGGCTTGCCTTCGGGGGGGGCTCCATCACTGGAGGTCTTTTAAGAAAAAATTGGACAGTCCTTTGGAATAGCAATAGCAATAGCACTTAGACTTATATACTTTTTTACATTTTCTTAATAAATAAATAGCAATAGCACTTAGACTTATATACCGCTTTATAGTGCTTTCCAGCCCTCTCTAAGCGGTTTTACAGAGTCAGCCTATTGCCCCCAACAATCTGGGTCCTCATTTTACCCATCTCGGAAGGAGGGAAGGCTGAGTCAACCTTGAGCCTGGTGAGATTCGAACTGCTAAATTGCAGGCAGCAGAACTAGCCTGCAGTACTGCACTCTAACCACTGCACTACCATGGCTCATGGTGTAAGTTTTCCTGCTTTCATTGAGGGCCACATCAGGGTTGAGTTTGACCTTGGGGGGCCGGGGTGGGCATGGCCAGCTCTACATCACTTGTGTTGGGGGCACCTCTGGTGACCCCAGTGCTCCGCCAGAGAAAACAGGCTCCCGAGCTCCATTTTCGGCTGCAACAGCCTCCTGCAACCGTCTGCCAGAGAAAACAGAGCTCGGGAGGGCTGCGTGCAGCTCTCCCAAGCTCCCTTTTTGCTGGCAGAGGCACCGCGGGCCAGTCCTTTGCTGTTTCCAAGATGGCCTCATGGTCCAGATCTAAGCATCCCGCAGGCCGGCTCCGAGTCCTGGGCGGTGAGTTTGACACTCCCGCTGTACATTATACAGTTTTTCTTTCCAAGTTGCTAAAAAAGAGACTGATTTTTCTCAAGTCAGTCCCTGAAAGTGCTTCATTTTTTTTTATTTAAAAAAAGGCCTTTTCCCTCCCCCTCTGCAGAAAGTGATGGAGGCCATGGGCGTCCTGGCCATTGTGGTGAACTGTTACCTGATTGGCCAGTGTGGGCAGCTGCAGCGTCTTTTTCCATGGCTGAGTCCTGAAGGTGCTATAATCTCTGTGGTGGTGCTAGAGGTAAGAGTGTGATCAGCTTCTTCTTCTTTTCCTCTGTAGGTAGTCCTTGACTTACATCCATTCGTTTAGCGACCGTTTTAAATTACAACAGCAGCACTGAAAAAAAAGTGTCTTATGACTGTTTTTCACACCATCGCATCCACGGCCACATAATCCAAATTCAGACGCTTGGCAACTGACTCATATTTATGACGGTTGCAGTGTCTCCCAGGGTCATGTGATCACCTCTTGCGACCTTCTGACAAGCAGAGTCATTTAGGAAGCTAGACTTGCTTAACAACCATGTGACTAACTTAACAACTGAAGAGATTCACTTAGTTTTGGCAAGAGAGATCAAAAAATGAGGGAAAACTCACTTAACAGTTGTCTCGTTTAGCAATGGAAATTTTGGGCTCAATTGTGGTCGTAAGTCGAAAACTTCCTGTATTATTTCTTTGGTGGACTTGCCGACCTCTTTTTTTTCTGTATATTTCATATTTCTCCAAGTACTGAGAAAGAACAGAGGACAATTAGAAGAAGTTCTGATACTTAGATCGCGATTATGGTGCAGGGTTTTTGTTTTACTGTTTTTTAATTATTGTTTTATTTATTGGTACTTTATTATGGTTGTGATAAGCCTCTCAGAGTTGTGTAAGATGGGCAGCCATATAACTTTTTAAAATA